CTAACAAACTTTCATAGTAGACTGAGTTTCAACTTTTCTGATATGCAATCAGTATTATTAATTTGCAAAACATCCAGCAGCCAACCAACTAAATAGCTTTGAAATCACTGAGAGCACGACTATCTTCTAAAGCAGCAGTTCTCAACCTAAGGGTCATGACCCCTTTGGGAGTCAAACAACCCTTTCACAGGGTCGCCAGATTCATAACAGTAGCAAAATTACAGTTATGAAGTAGCAACAGAAATAATTTTATGGCTGGGGGGGTCACCACAACCTGAAGAGCTGTATTAAAGGGTCGCAGCATTAGGAAGTTTGAGAACCACTGTTCTAAAGGAACATAAAATAGTTAGATGCCAATGAATAGTTATTATTCATACTGATCTGAAACAAAATGGGTAAAAGAAGAGTTTACAAAACCAAATACATACTTTATTTTGAAAATAATGCCCTCTGTATTGGTACAAAATGGTTTCTGAAACTGATGTAATATTAGATGTTTTCATATATAGTCCTTAATATAGCAAATAAGATAGAGCTAACTCTATAGTTCCCCAAATTTTTCTTAGAAATTATCACTTTCTAAACAGCGAATTTTGTTCCAAATGCCCTTCACTGATGTGCCATTCATAAGGGGCATCAAAAACTTTGAGGGAAAATGGAAATAAAAAAGAATTTTTCCATGAACCTTCTGAAGCCCCTTCATATTATGATAGTTTATTACAACAATAGCAAAATGGCCCGACGCAGCATGAAGTCACATAATTTTTCATCTTGGCTCCAGCACGATGTCTGGCACATAGTAAATACTCAAGAAATATTAGGTAAGTTTAGTTTAATCAATTAATTACATGGGAACTCTCAAATTTTTTAAAATGAAAATCAGAATGGAATTGTTAGCATTGAGAAAATAAAATCGCTAAAAATATTAATACAGAAATAACTGGTCAAGATTTTTTTAAAATTAAAAGTGTAAGTTTTATAGTGAGGCACGTGACACTAAATTTAGCAGCATAAAAGCAAGCCATCTGCAACAGATTGTGGGCTAAATAACACTGGGATTTTTCATTTACTCTTCAAAAGGCATTCAGAAATAACGTTAAGACCAGATTCAGGTAGGGATTAGATAAAATAGGATTGGTCATAGGTTGGTAACTGCTAGAGCTGATTTAAAGGTACATAGTCTTTATTTTTATGTATGTTTGAAATTTCCCAGAATTAAAATTTGAGAGCATCAATAGGACAAACATGCATTTTGAAAAGATACCATAGTAATCAGAAGACTGTGAGACACTGAGTACAAGGACAATTATTTAAATGTCAGACATGGTTCCTCTTCTGAAGTATCAGCTGAACGTAAGATTTACATTCATGAAAGGAAATGAAAGGTTTACATGCATATCCAATTACACTTTGTTCACTGTGTAATAAATGCAAATTCCTACTGCACGAATTTGGTACAGAGTAGTATTAAGTTCCCAAGCCAGTTTTTAAAATATAGATATATTTAAATCATCTTATTGGGAGCTCTTACATCTATCATAGCACTCCATAGTTCAATCACATGAAGCAGTATTGTGCAACTGCTACCACAACCTGTTTCAAAACATTTCCTTTCTTCTTGAACTGCTTGATATCAGCTCCTCTTTATCCCCTCCCTCCCCCACCTTACCCCCCAGGAACCCTTTATTAATTTATTGCTGTCTTACACCATCCAATGGATCCATTTGCACACAATTCTGTTGTTCACTGCTCTGATGGGGTTTATACAATGATCAATGCTGTCAACTCCCGCTACCCACCACCTCTCTCCCCATACCCTCTGGGAACCATTACTCCTGTTACTGTTTCTGAAAGGTTATCTATTTTGGCTTTCACATGTCCAATGATCTTAATTATACAAATAAACATATGCAAGTCTAATAATTAATAATGTAAAACAAGTAAAAACCCTAATAGTATGGGGAGGAAATATTAAAGAACTAGAGGATAGTTAATGCGGTTCATCGGTGCTATACCACACCTTGGATTTATCATCTCTTCCATGTGGCCCTTCTGAGAAAGACTGTCCAATTATCTTACACGTGGGTTTGGGTCTTCACTATATCCATGCTCCTTCACATTGATTTGGTTGCCTGTTTTTGAACTTATGATACCTTTTCCCATCGACACATCATGATCACACATGCAGGTGTGCTTCCTCCATGTGTGCTTCATTGCTTCCCTGCTAGATGGCCGCTTGTTTAAGTACAAGCCTTTAAGACCCCAGACACTGTATCTTTTAGGCGGGCACCATCAGTTTTCTTCACCACATTTGCTTATGCACCCATTTTGTCTTCAGCGATTATGTCAGAAAAGTGAGTATCGTACATTGGCACATTATTAGAACCAACCGTTCTTGCACTGAAGTAAGATTAAAGTAGAGGCCCAAAGTCCATGTGTCTTTTTGTTTCATTTGCATATGTACACACATACATAAACAAATACTTTACATATATGTTTATTTACATATATACACCTATTTTTCTTTCTTGTTTTTGCTGCTTTTTCTCTTTTCTTTTATCATGCTTCACTATCATTTTTACCCATTGTTGACTGAACACGACCAGAAAAGTTACACCCTCCTTGTCCCAGGCCAATTTTACCTTCTCTGTGCCCCATCATGATTTCAACTTTCCTGGTCATCTCTTCTACTCTTTGTAATAAAACCCAGAAATGACTTTGGTCATGGCAACGAGTTTGGTTTCTTGAAGTACTGTTCCCAATTGCTTAGGAAATTCAGATCTTGAAAGATCTGAGAAGGGATGATGGGGAAAGGAAGTTGAAGTCATAACGGGACACAAAGAAGGTAAAATTAGTCTGGCCAGAGAAGATGCATGTTTGGGAACAGTGAAATAAAATGATCGAGAAATGTGGGGCACATTGAAAATAATAATTACATGAGTAACAAGGAGTACACAGAAGACAATGTGGTAATAATGTCTGTACAACTCTTCTTGATATGATTGAACTATTGGATTGTGTAAGTGAATGACGTTGACAATAAAACTGCTTAAAAAAAAAAACTATAAAAAGTACACTCTCAGACACTTAGAGAGGCAGTTCTAACCTGTCCATAGGGTCACTATGAATCATAATTGACTTGTTGACAGTGTATTTGATTTTGGTACCAGTCAAAGTTTACCAATTCCTGTCTTAAATGAATTATATAAGAATCTGAAAAGAATAAAAGCAGTATTTCAAGATGATAGGGCTTATTACAGAAAGAGCTAGGTGCACCTGAGATGGCTTCACTTATCGATCAGAAGGAAACAGTAACCAAGGAAGTGTTCTCGTGAGGAACTGTCGCGGTTGGTTTTCTCAATTAAATTACCTCATCAGTTCTATGTGCTATTCTTTAAGAGTGAAACAAGATGGAGCTGAGAATGTTGCAACAATAATCCAAATGTAAAGTGATTCATGTGGACAAGGGCAGAAACCATGGTAGAAACACAAAGAACTTTTTATTAACTAGATATGAAAAAGCTAAACAGTGAATCGGTTATGATTGTCAACAGCTTCAATTTTAGTAACTAGGAGGGTATTAGTTCCACTGAAGATAGAAACTTAAAGAGAACAAATTTCATTTTAGGGAGAATGAAATTTGAGGAGACAATAATAATTACAATAATAAGTAACCTTTATAAATACCTGGAGTGGTGCAAATGATTAACCTGCTGGGCTAAGTGAAAGGTTGAAAGTTCAAATCTACTTAAAAGAAAGGTCTAGCTATCTACTCAAAAATAAGTCACTAAAAACAACAGGCTGCACAATTTTATTGACACGAATCAATGGCTACTGGTTTTTATTAGCACCAGGATAAAGTGCTACAGCTGCATCTGCCACAAACCAAGGGAGGACTCCTCTGTTTGTAGGCCCAGTCTTAGAAGGCAAACCCTGGAGACAGGGGCAGTCCAGGCTATGGATCCTACTTGCACTCAGGACTTGCTTGGTCCCAGACACTGCTTCGATGTTTTATATGTATTAATTTAATTCTCAAAATAATCCTAGTAAAATGGGTAATGTTACCATCACCGTTTTATGGTAAAGGAAATTGAGATACAGCAAGGTTAAACAATGTGCCCAAAGTCACAAAGACATAAAGCAATGGAGCCAGCATTTCAAGTAGGGCAGTATGGTCTTAACTATTTTCCATGAGATTTGTGTTTAGGAGGCCAAAAAACCTATGATAAAAACAATGACCATACCATGAAGCTACCTACCTCTTCAAAGAAAATTCCACAATCTGACATTTGAAAGAGTCATCTAAATTAATTGTATGTTTTTAGGGAAAGGAATTTCTTAAAACCTAGTAAATTTAAATTAAAAAATAAAACCTAAGAAATAAAAGGGAGTTAAGGCATCAAGAGAATTATAGCTAAACATGAATTTTACAAACAGTTTAAACAGAGACATCCAGAGGGATAAACAACAGAAATGTGGGTAAAGGAGACAGCAGTGTAAAATATGAAAACAATAATAATTTATAATGTATCAAGGGGCCATGAGGGTGGGGTGTGGGGAGGGAGGAAAAAATAGGAGCTGACACCAAGGATTCAAATAGAAAGTAAATGTTTAAAAAATGATGATGACAACATATGTACAAATATGCTTAATACAATTGATGTATGGAATGTGATAGGAGCTGAAAGATTCCCCCCCAAATAAAATGATTTAATAAAATATAAAAATAAACAGTAGACATTAGTTTTAAATGGTAATATCTATTTTCACATCAACATGCAAGCTAAATGAGTAAGTATTATGCATATTTTATCTGGCCTTATAAGTTACACTTTAGGTTTGGGAAATTCAATCAAAAACCATTTGAAAGGAAGCCTCAGAACAAAGTTCCTTAAAATTAAAACGAAGTACTTCACGCCAGTGTGGTCATCTCCAAACATAAGGCATTACGTATGTGCCTTTCTCTCTCATTTCTACACAACATTAAACACATGGCTATCACCCTGCAGTTCCCTTTCCCATTGGATCAAAACACTGGTCTGGGTGGTGGTAAAAGGAGGAAAAGAAACATTGAAGCTGGCCTTCGGTGCTCTTGGAGCTCAGCTAGTTTCAAACAAGGTAAAGAAAAAAACCAAACATGGCTATCTTGCTTAAATACACAATAAATGCCTTCTGAATACAAGTGAGATTTTTACAGTGGCACAGTTTATAAGAAGAGAAATTATTGTTTTAAAAGGTGTTAATAGGGGGAGGGAAGATAAAAAGAGGAGCTGACACCAAGGGCTCAAACAGAAAGTAAATGTTTAGAAAACGGTGATGGCAACAAATGTACAAATATGCTTGATACATTTGATGTATGGAATGTTGTAAGAGCTGTAAGAGCCCCCAATTAAAAAAAAAGTGTTAACACGGATATAAGAAAACTTAAATTAAACTACATTTACTTACTTTCTGATACTGTATAAAGGAGGTTCTGGGGTAAAGGAGGAGGTAGTCTTGCTCCCACTGGTGCAAGATTGGGCACTGCACTTGTCCCAGGCTGCTCACGGTTGTTTATCATGTTTGACTGTGTTATGGGTGGTCCTACAGATAACAAAAGTTAAAGGGAGAGTATTATTATTTCATAGCTACTAAAGATATTTTATTAGCACTAATTTGAAAATTCTTACTTCAAAAATCTTTGACTTTGAACAGAATTAAAGAATTTTATGTGTGCAGGTTTAAAGTACTTTAAAATGCATTATTAATTAAAAGGTAAAACTAATTTAGGGTAAAAAAAAAATCAGAACTGGCTGACTCTATAGAGTAGAGGTGGATAATGGCCGAGAGAAAGCTTACAAAAACTTTCTGGGTTAATAGTAATGCTCTACAGAAGTCTTCTTAAGTTATGCCAGCTGACTGTACTGATATGATGACTGTAAATAGCCTATGAAATGCACCAAAATAAAAATGGAGATGGGAAGATATGTGACAAAATGTTAATTGTAGAACTAGGTGGTAGATACAGGCATACCTAATTTTATTGCACTTCATCTTATTGTACTTTACAAAGATTGTTTTTTACAAATTAAAGTTTTGTGGCAACTCTGTTAGCAAGTCTACCTGTGCCATTTCCCTGATAGCACATTTTGGTAATTTTCACAATACATCACACTTTTTCATAATGAACATTTAATAGACTAAGGTGTACATATAACTTCCATGCACATTGAGAAACCAAATGTTTTGTATGGGTCACTAATTGCAGTATTCACTTTATTGCAGTGATCATATACCAAGCCTACAGTATCTTGATGGTATGCCTATATCTGAGGATTCAGTGTACAATTATTTAGTTTTTCTGTTTGTTTGGAAATTTTCATGGTAAAATCTCTGGTGGATGGCATGAAATGCTTAGCTTTGACTTTTAAATGTATTGTGTTCCCACTGCTCCTCCCTATCCACCGTACTGAGATACTAAAAAAGGAAAGAAAGAAAGAAACCAGACTTGAATAATGGTTATCATGGGTGAAGGAGAAAGGGTTGCTGCTTAGGGGGCATTGAGTTTATATTAATGGTGGCAGAATAATTTGGAAAAGGATATCAATAATGGTTGCACAACATGAAGAGTATAATCAATGGCATTGAATTATACATGTAAAAGTTGTAGAAGTGAGAATGTTTTGTTGTGGCACAATTACAAAAAAAAATTATATGATAACAATGATTACAAGGAAGAAAACGTTCTAGATTTGAATATGGTGATAAACATACAACTCTCCTTGATATGATTGAATTACTGATTTGCATGACGTGGATAAAGTGCTAAAACTGCTAAATAAATAAATAAATAACGATGGGTGAAGAGGAAATAAAGACCTCCCTCCCGACGGAAAATAAACAAAACAAATAAATAACTATTTAACTTACCTAGTAAGTAGTGTCTGCCTTGAGCTATTAAGAATTATCCATATAGGATCAAAATGACAACAGCAACTTGAAAGGCTAGACTGTAAATTTAGGGGTCAGTGAGTCTTTATCAATGGAGAATGAGCAATTAATTTGGAAAAAGGTAAAAGTAGTAGCACAACTTGGAAAGTGTAATCAATGTCATTGAATTGTACATGTACTTATTGTGAAATAGATGTACATTTTTGCTACACATGTTCTCAATAAAAACAAGATTTAAAAAATTTTATTAAAGTCCTGCTTAAGTACCTATATACTCATGTATAAGCTGAGTTTTTCAGCACATTTTTAATGGTTTTTGTGGTAAAATTAGGTACCTTGGCTGATATTTGGGTTGCCTTTTACTTGAGTCCATACGGTAAATTAAATGTCATTTTTAATGTTAATTTTCTTCAAATGAATTATTTTTCTCTCTCTGTTCACACATGCAATTATTCAACCCACATTTTTTTCAATGACATTAAAATTGTTTTAGATGTACTGTTTCTGTTAAACTAGCAACTGTTATTATATTTTAAATGGCCACTTCTAAACATGGTTTATTCTTAACTTTGCTAGGTATGATAATATTGATTACTTTAAAAACAAACCCTCAAATTCCTTATCAGCAAAGAGATCAATACTGAGACATATACAGATAAAATTATATGGCATTTGGAATTTATTCTAGCAAAAACCGACTCCTTCAAAGAGTGAGTGTGCATGTGTAGAAAGATAAAACAAAAATAACTATGTATTGATAACTATTGAAGCTGTTAATAGTGCATGTAGTACACATATTCTCCTTCTCTGTTTGAAAATTTCCATAATAAAAACTAAAGCATATATCATATAGTTCAATATTCTTAGAGAAATTTTCTTTAAAGATTGGAAAATCCATTAAACTACAAGTTTTCTTCCCCCTTAACATCTTAAAAACTGGCTTTCTTAAGATGTTATAGCACAATTAGTAGAATGTAGAGTATGGGTCAATATAGGTAAGCCAATAAAATTTAAACACTTGACAGTAAAACAAAGATCATCTAACAATGAAAGAAAAAAAAAAGGAAAGCATCCAGATTATGGGAATGTAATCCAAATTGTTACTTGGTTATTAATTTATGCTTCAAATATTTTAAATCAAGTATCAAGTTAACTAAAGGGATGAGGGTCTCTTAGACAGAATTCTCATTAAAGATCCAACCAGAATATACTTACTTGGTATGGGAAGCACAACAGAAGGCGGAGGTTGACCATGTCCTTGGGGAACAGGAAGTCGCATGTTGTGACCAGGTCCTGGGCCAGGACCAGGGCCAGGGCCAGGGCCAGGGCCTGGGCCAGGGCCTGGGCCTGGGCCTGGCATGGGAGGCATTAAGATTCCAGGAGGTGGTGGTGGAGGAAGCCCGGGAGGAGGAGGTGGAAAAGGAATCATGCTTGGCAGAGCAACTTCATCAACAACCAGGGGATCATTTCCATGATCAAACTGGCAAAGGTCTCCAAGTACACAAAATCCTCTTTCTGTATAAATAAAATAATCTTATTTTAATCTACAAGTCTAAAATAAATATAAGTAAATAAATCTAAAAGGAAACAAGTCCCTGAAAAACTGATTAATCTGATTTATAAAGTGCTTTTCTCCGAGGAGAAATGTTCTTCTTGTTATTTTGTTAATCATCACATATCCGTAATATGCAGAGGGGAATTTTCTACATTGTGTAGTATAAAACTGTGATTACATCAAAGACAAGGTCAAAAACTATTTACTTACTATTAGACTACCGCTCTTGCTATTAACTTTTTATAATAAACATTTACATGCTTTAAGATAGATTTAGTACAGGGGAAATGAGGAACTTTAAGTAGATGGCTTCATTTCAATGATTCGTTCTCTGTAAGTTTAAACTTTAAAATATCCAGGTGGACACTGTATGCCAGGTTATCTACTACATACAATATGGTAGGAATAAAATATTAAAAACATCCCAAATGTGCAACAAGGAGTAAGTTAAATTTTAGTATGCATTTAAAAATTGAGGAAGTGGGAATGATGAGGGCAACAAATGTATAGATGTGCTTTACACAATTGATCTATGTATTGTGATAAATTGTATGAGCCCCAATAAATTGATTAATTAAAAAAAAAAATTGAGGAAGTCCCATACATATTAACATAAGATTATTCCAGAAACTGCTGTTAAATGGGAAAAAAAAGCATGCAGAACATTCTAAGTAGTACACTAACATTTATATTAAAAAATTGAGATAAACTGTGTATTTACTGATGGGCATTCGCACAGATTATCTTGAGAAAAATAAACAGGAAACTAATAGCCTTAAGTTGGCCCCAAAAAGGCGAACAAATCCAATGGCTGGGTGATGAGAGAGAGAGAGACAGAGGTGATACTTAAATTCTGATTTTATTTTCCTTACTTAAAAATAAATTAAATGTACCGTATGTACTTGAATACAAGCCACGTTTTTCAGAACATTTTTAATGCCGTTTTTGTGGTAAAATTAGGTATCTCGGCTGATATTCGAGTAGGCTTATACTCGAGTGTATATGGTCAGAATGAATGCATTAAATATTTATAAGCAAAATATAATTATCTAGGATTTGCTGCAAATAAGAAGACAAGGAGAAATATAGATGGAAACAAGGTTGCCCATGAGTTGGTAACTACTGAAGCAAGATGAATACACCTTGATCCATTATGTGATTTTATTTCTATTATCTAAATATTTCCAAAATTTAAAAATATAGATAAACATCCTCATTTGATTAAAGAGTCAACATACATTTGCATATGCTACACATTTAATAAATTCTCAGAACCTCACACAAGGATATTATAATCCCTCATGTTTACCTAATTTTATTAAATACACAGTGTCTGAAGTACAATAACAAAAGCTCTTTAGAAAGGGGTCACCTCTTGAAATGAGTCAAATCTTTAAAACAAACAAGTAGACAAGCATGTATGAAAAGTTTCTTCTCCCTTTTAACTTTTAATTAAAAGTTATGAAATATATGTAACATTTGCTTAAATAATGCTTTTGAACATGGTATAAAGAAAGGTGGTGATTTATACCATCATAATCTCTGCATCGCCTCTTTGGTGGTGGGTTTCGACCAAAAGAATTGGAAGAGCTATGATTGTTATAGTAATTAGACCAACTCTCAGTTGTGTTTTCAGAGTGGTGAGCAGGTGCGATCACAGTAACCGTGCTGGGAATAGACTGTGTCCCAGAGGAATACTGTTCAGAAGAGTTCGGTGGTGGTGCAGACACAGGTACATAGGAACTCTCTAAGTCGGTCCTTTCACTCTTAAACTTTGATCTTTCCCTGTGCTCTGCTGTAGAAACAAAATAAAAAAACAAACAAACAGATCAGATGTTTGTATTCATAAGCTATGCTTATTATTTTCACTTTCAGAAATTTGATGTAATTTTAACCAAAATTCAAATTACCTTCATTAATATATCCTAAAAGCAGAAAAAGCAACAATATGAGCTATTTTCACATATTATACAAAATCATATTTTATAATTTCAGCAATATACGTATTGAAAAATGGCCAGTTTCTCCATTAATATTTAATAAAAATTCTATTCAGGAAATGACTTCCAAATAAAAAGAAATGACTTCCAAACTGATATCCCAAGAGATTAATGGTTTTAATCACAGCAATCTACTTAAATTTTTAAAATTTTATAAACACCCGCAACCTTAAAAATCATTTAGAAGAGAGGGTGAGAATCAGGGCGTGCAACCCTCTTCAGTGTTTGCTGCTTAAAGGGCATTTACACTAATTACACAAAGTGGCTGAAGTCCAGCTATCCACCATGATAGACTTTATGAATAACTCCTTTGGATCTATCTAGAAGCTTGAGCCTAGTCTCTTAAACAAATTCAATAATCAGTTGTTGAGAAAGTTCCAATTTTACAGTGCCAAATTATTAAAGGTACATTTACCTTTAAAGAGATTGCAGGCTCCTTCATGATATAAAATAAAGCAACTATTTATCTTTTAGAATGACACCATTACTCACCAACATTCCTATTCAGGTCCCGGTCTTTGCTGCGCCCCCTACTTCGGCTTCGACTTCGACTCAGGCCTCGGCTTTTACTCCGGCTCTTACTCCTGCCTCTTCTCCAGTCGTACTTCTCACGGTATATTTCATTCCGCTCATAGTACCGGTCATAGTCTCTCCACTTGCCATCTTCTCTTTTTTTCTCACGTGTCCTATAATAAACAGATATAAAAGCCATATATTGGCTATAGAAACTAAGTCTTCAAACAAATCAGTAGGATGAAACAGTTTCTCAGAGTCAACAAAACTCATCACGTTTATGCTGTCAGAAAGCTGTGAGACCACCACATATCTTCTAATCCATCACATAAAAGGGAAATGCAATCACACTGGGTGAGGAGAAAAGAAAAGGAAAGGTGAACCCAAAATATAGAAAAGGGGTGTGTGTATATCAAATTTAGAACAGGTAAAGAAAAACAGCTAAAATTAAAGTTTTTCTACACAAAGACCAAATTATTAATAGTAAGACTGCTAATTCAATATGAAAGTTGCCCTCCTTGTAGTATGTTATTATGTGTAATTTTAATACTGAGCACCCCTAAACAAATGGAACAGTTCATTTTTATTCTCTAAGGAGATTTTCTCCCACCTCTGAGCTCTTGGGGAAAACATATAATGATGATTGTTTATAAAAGGAATAGAAAGTAAGACAAAGAAAACACAAAGGTTGGAGAGAAGAAAGTTAACATGGACATTCTTTTTCGTAAAACACTTGAGAGAGAAAAGTCAGTATGTATGTTAAAGACTCCTTTTAATACCTTTGGAAGTAAATGAAAAGCTGTCCTAATTAAAGATAAACACAGACCTTTGTTCAGTAGATTCTGAACGAATCTTCTGGGGACTAGGATATTTCTTTTTTCTGCCATCTCGTTCTTCTTCTGCTGGTTCTTGATATACCTATATAAAAATATTCATTAAAAACAAGAATAATCCTTCTAAAAATTACAAAACATCCTACCTGCTCCTCTTTCTGGTGTAGGAAAGAGCATAAACAAATACACTGAAATACAGAAGTTAAATACATTCAAAACAGTTTGTAACAGAGAAGTAAAAAAGATGCTAAAAGAACGTTTTACATGCGGTATGTTAATTTTAACTGTTAGTTTATGGAAGAGCTTAGAATTGCTATGTAGGAAGAAAATAAGCAACTGCTTCTTTAAATTGAATTAGAGATGGTTTATAATGATATATGCTTTCTTGCAATCACAGTTTGTTTATGAAAGGACTATTTTTTACTTATATCAAGGAAGAGGTTTTAGGAACAAATAATGGTTTTGTAAGCTAACCAGTTAGTGAATGCTATAAATCCAAATACTCTATATAAATTATAGAAAAGTGGTGCTGGCACTAATGAAAACACGGAAAGCTTATTTTAAAACTTAATAGTAAAGACTGACCAAAAAGCATTAAAAAAAAAACCCTAGTAATTTTATTATCTTTAAACAGAAGCTGATCTCACGTTGTAAACTCTCACCTACTATTAGATGCTTATCTAATGGAGAAATTCACTTTCAAATACTCAAATTAGGAAGTGAGTAAGTGGACCAAGTAAACACAATTTACTAAAACTAAGGCAATACATAAAGTGGCAATTACAATATGATAACCATGTGGTGCCAGCAAAAACAACTACACAATAATTAGCCAAAATATAAAAACGACCATTTCTACCAGTTCACAGGAAATACAGAGATGTATTACCCCACTGGAGTGCCCACCCTTGGAAAAGAACATCATGCTTGGTAAAGCAGAGGGCAACAAAAAAGAAGAACCCCCTCAGTCAGATTGCTTGACAGGGACTGCACCAGCTCAAACATAAAGAACTACTTTGAGGATGGTGTGGGATCCGCAGCGTCTGTCCTACTGGACATAGGGTTGCTGAGTCAGAATGAACTAAATAGCATTAAAAAAAAAATTATCCCACAGAAACGCAAACAGTAAAACACAGACAGTAAAGTCTACTTAACAAATGACTGAGTTTGGGGGGAGCGGGGAGGGAGGGGAAAAATGAGGACCTAATGTCGGGGGTTTAAGTGGAGAGAAAATGTTTTGAGAATGATGTACAAATGTGCTTTACACAATTGATGTGTATATGGATTGCGATAACAGTTATATGAGCCCCTAATAAAATGTTTAAAAAAACAAAACAAAAAACAACAACAAATGACTGAGTTTATTAAAATAAAATAAATATGACTAGCAAAAGCACCACAATGCAATTACGTTTTTAAAAAGTATGTTGCCGGGGATTTGGCTGCAACTCATGGTGACCAGGTTTTCTTGGCTGTAATCTCTACAAAAACAAATCCTTAGACCTTTCGTGTGAATCTACCATCGCTGGGTAGATTCAACACCAACCTTTAGGTTAGTAGTCACGCTCAAATCATTTGTCCCAATCAGAAATTTCACATCTAGAAGGACGATAACCAACTGGCAGACAATAACAATTGCTGACAAGAATGTTAAGAAACTGGAGTCTTCTTCATACATTACTGCCAGAATGTAAAACGGTACAACCACTGGGAAAAATAGTTTGGCAGTTACTCAATAAGTTCAATATAGAATTAACATGAGTCCACGATTTCACTCTTAGGTAAATATCCAAAAGAACTAAAAACACATGTTCCTACAAAAATGTTCATAGTAGCACACCACACCACATAAAACAGTCGCACACCCCAAGTAGTCGAGACGAATGGAAAAGCAAAAATGTGTATCCATACAATGGGATATCATTCAGTCATAAAAAGGAAGAACTAATCGTGTTAACTGGATCTTGAAAATATTTTGCTAAAAGACATCAGAAACTAAAAGCCACAAGCTGTATGATTTCATTTACATGAATTCCAGAATAGGAAAATTTACAAGTAGAATGTTGACTAGTGTTTGGCAGGAGGGATATAGAGAGGAGGAATTGAGAATGGCTGCTTAATGGATATGGGTTTTCACTGGAGTGATGAAAATATTCTGGAATTAGGTAATAGTGATGGTGATATAACACTGCCAATACATTCCAGGTCAATGATTTTATAAACTTTAAGTGATAACTATTGTACTATGTGTATTTTATAATACTGTTGGAAGAAACAAGTACTGATACATGCCACAACATGAATGAGCCTTGAAAATGCTAATCCCAATACAAGATATATAATCTAGAGCAGGGGTCCTTAAACTATGGCCCATGGGCCACATGCGGCCCGCCGAGGATATTTATCCAAGCCGCCAAGTGTTTTTGCCCCGTTTTGTTTTTTACTTCAAAATAAGTTATGTGCAGTGTGCACAGGAATTGGTTCATAGTTTATTTTTAAACTATAGTCCGGCCCTCCAACGGGTCTGAGGGACAGTGAACTGGCCCCCTGTTTAAAAAGTTTGGTGGGGGGGGGTGTGGAGAATAAATAAATAAAAAGTTTGAGGATCCCTGATAGAGAAATCAGAGCCTAGGCAGGAACAGATAACGTGCACAAGTTGCTCATCACAGCATTATTCTTAACAGGAAAAAGATGGAAAAACAACCTAAGGATCTATCAATCAATAAACTATGGTACATACAAGGTGGTTTCAAAATGTTTGTGGGGAAAATACCATTAAAAGATATAAAGTATTAATTTCCATAAACCTAACTTTTACTGGCATTTTCCTGTGAACTTTTTGAATCCACCTCCATAAATTTTTTGAAGCCAATGGATTTCTACAACCAAAAGACTTAATAATAAAGAAAGAATACTAAGGATGAACCTAGAGGACATTATGCTGAGCAAATAAGTCAATCACAAAAGGACAAATACTGTATACGACCACAACTATAAAAAGTTAAGAACAGGTTTCCATAGGAAAAATCCTTCTTGGATGGTTACAAGAGAGGAGAGGTGAAGAAAGACTAAGCACCTGACTAGAGTGTGGACGCATTTACAGGTGAAGGGAAAAGCAATATATAATTAAGGGAGAGGGCAGTACAACATGATCAAAGCAAATGAAACCAATGGGAGGTAAACAAGAATAAAGCACAATGCTCTCACATACACAATTTTGTAATCATACTAATAACAAACAGTACCTGTGAGTAGGTATAACTGGTGCTGAACAGACATGAGAAGGTAAATGAGGGCAAAACCACACATATATAAATACATTTGGCAGAGGACATTTCTACAAACTTATTTTTTTTAATCATTTTATTGGGGACTCGTAGAACTCTTATCACAATCCATACATACATCAATTGTGTCAAGCACATTTGTACATTCGTTGCCTCATCATTCTCAAAATTTTGCTCTCCATTTAAACCCTTAGTATCAGCTTCTCCTTTTTCCCCCTCACTCCCTGCTCTCCCCTCCCTCATGAACCTTTAATAATCTACATACTTATTTTTATATGCTCCTAGTATAAGGGATGTTCAAAAAGTTCGTGTAAAAAATTCTGCATTATAAAGAAAAAAAATTCTCTACTTCTTTTTAAATCCTATTTTCTACAAACATTTTGAAGTTCCCTCATATAACAGGATAAATTGATATATAGTATCAAAAATCAGGTACTACAACTACTCTGGGAGGGAAGTGGAGGGAGAAAAGGTGGGAAGGGTGTCACACCCGACTCTTCTAGAATTTTATTAGTGTTCTATGTCTTGACTGAATGCACAAGTGGGTTCAACTTTGTAAAAATTAATAGAACTATACAATTATGCTTTATGCACTTTCCTGCAAGCATACTTAATGTCAACAAAATTCCAAACAAAAGCCAAATATCAGATACATCATTTCATTCAATAGATCTTAAGTCAAATAAATGAAGGGAAAAAATTATGTTATCTGATATTAATGGGATATTGTTTTTTAAGCATTACCATTTAGAGGAAAATACTAACTGCAGATAAAATGGTAATAATTCTGAGTTTTGTTTAAAAACAACTAAGAAGAAGCAAAGTATCTGGAGTTATAGAAAAATAACTGCTATTCTAAGTAATAAATTATAAGGCATTAAGCTGCTTTATACAATCTATTCATATATGTGTAGAAGCCTCAAGATGCGAAAACCTTTTACCTACCTCCGTGATCCTATGAAAAGGCCTCAAAAAGCTTGTGGAAAAATTCTATCATATTTTAATACAATTTTCCAAGAATTATTGAAGCCCGCCATATTATTGTAAGAAAATAAGATTTCTTAATACTCAGACCACTGTGGCCAAGTATCTAATTTTTTTAATTTTCCTACTACTCTGTTTTCCCGAAAGACATCCCCCGAAAATAAGACCTACTTAAGAGTTTTGTCTCTTGCTGAACTATAAGGCATCTCCCCAAAAATAAGGCCCCCCAAAGCTACCGTAACTCTGGACTGTAGCAGTGGGCGCCGCCGCGCAGCTCACTATTTGCCGCAGCACAGCCGGAGCAGATGGGAAGTGTGAGGTTTCTTTTAAAAAAGCAATAAACAATAAATGTGTACCATATTCTTCATGAAATAATAAGACACCCCCAGAAAATACGACCCAGTGCATCTTCGGAAGCAAAAATTAATATAAGACACCATCTTATTTTCGGGAAAACAGGGTATGTGACTTAAGTTTTTGTTTTCTTTTGACTTTGCATCGTACATCTGATTGTTAAACACATATTTAAGTGTTCATTATTATCTTGGCCAATCAAGGTCAAATAACTCTGACAATCTTTATTGCACTGGACCATTTTAGATATAAAAGACTATTAACAGGATGCACATCTTCCCGACACGTTTGCTGAAGACAAATGGGTGCATAAGCAAAT